GAAAATATCATGGTGTGGGTTCAAATGCAGTCCTTTCACAACATGTTTGAAGCTTTTTTAAATGTTCAGGTAAGTGTGTCCTGGTTGGCTAAAAAAGCAGAGACCGAAAATTACTAAAATAAATGGCAGACATACAACACAAACTTATTTGTGATAGATCAAAACAAATGCATTTTGGGAGAAAATTACTCTCAAAATTTAAATGTAAACGCACTTTAGATAAAGGAACGTCATTTTTAGGAGACGAGGCTGCATCAAGCTGATGGTCTGATATACAGAGAGGGGGGCAGTGTAATGGACAGACATATCCTGCTGAATTGTGTCTACACAGAAATGATTCTGAAGCAGTGCAGTATCAAGGCAGCATTTCACAGGAAACAACTATAAATTCTTAATGGTGTTTGGTAACCTTCAGTAGATGTATAGAGTGGTTGCATTGTGGTCATTTACAAGTTTCTATGTAAGCCTTTATAACCAGGCACGTGCTCTAACAGCTTTAGTAAATACAGATATGGAATACTCTACGTGAGTGTATATGAACCTTAATTGTGCCCACAAAGAGCCTGACTGGTGCAATGTTTCTATTGGACATCATGCACTGGAAGACAGTCGCAGTCAAGTGTGTGTTCATGTAACTGTTCTGGAGTAATGTAATGAAGGCCATGGCTTCATTATGACTCCCTTCCTGCAGAGTCCCATCATACCACTCCCAGCGGAGAAAGTGTGACAGACAGATCGGGCAGGCAGATACAGAGAGGCATAAGAGATGCAGACAGAGGCGGAAAAGAGAGAGATGAAAATGTCAAAGGCTGCAGTGTAATCTGACCTCTTGGCACATCAGGACCTTCGTTTAGGGACCAGTGGGGAAAAGAGTGGGGCAGACAGGGAGGGAGGGAGGGAGGGAGGGAGTTATTTTGCTGGGAAATGAGAGATGGGTAAGAATGGGAGCCAAGAAGACAAGGAGGAAAACTAGGCTAAAGAGTCACACCTCCCATGTTATGGCAGTGAGAGGAAGTGAGGCTCTGGTGATGGAAAGATGGATGACAAGCTGAAAAGACAAGGTTGGGGGGGGGGCTAGTGTGTTGCAAGAGGACCTGCAAAATAAAGAGAAGCAGGAGCTCAGACAGCAAGTTTACATAAAAGAAATCTTCCTGGCAAGCACTGAGTAAGAAACAGGTGAGGCTGTCTAAATCTAAGTTGACTCTGGACATGAACGAAATGTGTTATGTACTTTTATTTTCTGCATTTGAATCTAAAGGAGGGCATCATGTCTCAACTTAAAGGTTCATATATTTCCATGATCCATACCAGACTGCAACAGAAATAAATCCAGCCCCGAATTGATCTCTGCAAAGCGAGCTCCTGAGTATCCGCTATTCAATCACAGGAAAGAGGTCTGGCACAGACGGAGAGTCGACATATTATGACGCAGCCTATGCATTGTTCAGATAGAGGAGCGAGCTGACTGCAGAGAGCAATCATTTAGCACCAGCCCAAAGCAGCGACACAGGTCCAGTGCAGCGAGCACAGAGACATGGAAACAGAGCCTCTTGGCTACGAAGAAGCTATTTCTCCTCCAAGATAATCACACAAGAGACAGGCAGTATTTTTAGACCTGCAAGTAAGCTCTTAACATCACAGTGTCCCTTTGTCATTTTCTCTTTTGGGCCCACGTATGTACATCCATTACTGCTGTGGTAAACTCAACATTGAAGTTCACTGAATACTGCATCCTTACCTATAAATCTGTGTTTTGTATCTGTCACACTGTTTATCTATCAGAAAGTCCCCACCTGCTGAAAGAGCCAGTCCCACCAAATTACAAAAAAACATGGTTTCCCACTTAACTAACACTTCACTCATCTAATGGTGAAGAGTCTCTGCAAACCAATACAGAGGAGTTGAATGAAAGTTAGAGCACTGACATTTCTAAGAATGCTATTTCAAAAACTCAAAAAATGTTCTGTTAATGCAGGGTAATCTAGAGACATTGCTGTGAATAGTGTTGATTGCAAGGCACTGTCAGCGTAAAAGGTAGAAAAGGTGAACACGATTCTCAGCAAGGTTTGAGAATAATGCTGAGTAGCAAGGTCACTGTTTCTGGAAAGACTCTTTTCTGTTGAGTTGAAAACACAACATCAAGACTATCTACAGGATTAGACACTATTACATAGAAGAGACACTACAACTGTACTTTTTGTCGTAAAAGTCTGATGCTTGGTGATGTATTCTTTCTTTCTAGCCAAAATAATCTACCACAAGTGACCAAAACATATTGTTTCATACACTGACAATAACTACAATGAACACAGGTAATGTGGCGTGTGTTGCTCCGAGTGAAGTACTCGCTCGAGTCTGCAGCTCTCTGAAGCTTCTTAGCTTCTTAGTTTGTTGCTGAGTTTTTATTTCATTTTCACTGCTCTCATCAAATTCCAGCAGCACCAGATATGTTTTCAGCAAGAAAAGCTTTGAGAAAGCCCACTCAAGCAAAAGCAGACAGAGTAGCAGTTTGCTGGTGAAGACACCACACTGTCTAGCAAGCAGGAAACTCAGAAGTTGGAGGAGACCAAAACAGATGTATAAAAGTGTAAAGTATTTGTCAGGTGGACAGAAATATGACTTCAACTAAATGTTAATGTCATTACTGTCTATTAGATTTGTTAAAAAGCAATCAGCCTCAACAACTTTATACATCACTATCATGTAACAGTTAAAAAAAAAAAAAAAACACATTAAAACTAAACAATTTAGCTTTCAAGTCCCTTCACCAACTGACTGCCCACATAGGTGTTGACATTTATTTTGCTCGATGAGACTTGTGTGAGAAAATTATTAAATTATACTGCTGACTCAAAGACAAACTACTTATCTCCTGGATACACTGTACAATAGAACACAGCCTTTTTTAACCTGCAACATTAGCAGCACAGGTCTCCTCAGCTTCAACCTGCTATGTGTGTTTGACCACAATAAGCATTAAGCAATGTTTAAAATCAGAGTGCTACCTCTCTTCATTTTTAGTATTTCTGTCCTCCAGGCTCTAGCTGAACCTGCAGTTTACTCATCACTAACAGTAGGTTCCAATCTTGGCCTGGTGGGAGAGAGCAGAAAAAATTCAAAAGCTCAGTCAGACCAATCAGTAGGAGTCGCTAGTGCAGTGACAAGGACATGCGTATTCATGAACCGCTGCCAACTTGGAGGCACTGCTGCTGGGGACTAAAAATGGATCTCTGCAGGGGTAAATAATTATTCCCCCTGCATCACCCAGGTGCCTCAGAAACAGTGTTCAGCTTTAGCAAATCTGTACCTTAAACTGTCTAAAAACTACTTTCTGCCTTTAGGGCAGATCAAAGAAAGAACACATTTACTCTCTTTGGCCTCTCATTTGTGAGATTTATACTTCTGAAAAGTGAATATAGAGGCGTAAAGTGAAAGTATGTGACCTCTAAACAGTTAGCAGAACTCATCCTGTTATATAGCTGCCAAAAGAATTTCCAATGGCAAAAAAATATTCAATTCAAATTCAAATTCAAAAGGCAAACAGGATGATTTGAAATTAAAGCATAAGTTTGCTTCTGTGTCAAAACGAACTGAAGATTAGCTCACGGGATCATAACTGAAGAGACGTGTTAATCCAGGTTACTTTGGAGAAGTTGTAATCCCTCGCACTTGACAGAAATGAATAATCTTCTTTCTACTTCTATTACACAGCTCATCAAGAAGAACACAAACACATGTTGTGCAAAAGTGACAATTCTGAGACCAGTGATTAATCTGCTTATTGTCTTTCTACTCAATCTGAATCACATCAACAAAGAGCAAAACCGCAACATTCCCTGGCCGAACAATACAAATTTTGATTTTACCACATTGATAAAAGCAACACTCCTAATTGCATTCAAGTATCCAATCACAAATGCCCCACCCTAAAAGAAAAGCCTAAAGTGTGTGTCTTTGTGTCTCTCTGTGTATGTGTGTGTGTGTGTGTGTGTGTGTATGCAGTCCATTACTGAAATCACATTAGCCTCAGAGAGTGCACCGAGACAGGAAACAACCCTCCACCATCTCCTGACTTTCATTGAATAGGCAAACACACACATTATACATGATCAGATCTGGATGGTAACACTTAGGAGCCATTTTCCTGTTTATACAGCACTTATATGAAAAAAACAACAACTTGTGGATAGAAATGAAGTGTCCATAGAGAGCTGACTTTTCTTATTAAGCTCATGTGAATTTATAACAACCCAGTGTGTGATGGTGTTGCTGTGCGCACATGGAGATGAGAAGGAGGAAGGATCTGAACATGAGGACAGACAGACTTAATGGCAAAACAGCCCAACCCACAAGTGGGGTGAGATAGCACTTAGTGGCACAGACACACACACACACACACACACACACACACACACACACACACACACACACACACTTTAGAGCATTATGACATACACTGGAGGAGAATCACAAGCGAGCAGAGCACCTAAAATTCAAAGGAATCCAGTACCACAAAAACTATCTGCAAAATGTCACGTTTTGTATGAAAGTGCAATAATAATAGTCACAAGCTGAGATGCTCTCCCTCTGCAGAATAAAGACAAATATCTATAAACCATAAGTGGTGCATGTGAAGTTGTAAACATTCCTCACTGAAGCCAGCAACCGGAGGAGTCAGTGCAGACCTGCTGGTGTTTATTTTGACGGCCATAACAACTGGCACACTTGGCCTGTTTGGGTAGAATCACACTCCAGTGTGGCAAGTCACTCTTAACCAAAACAGATGGTATTTTCCCTGCAGAGAACCTTCCTTTCTTAATAGCAGCTAATTTGGACGCAATTTAACGCAACAATTCTGAGGGGAAAAAAATGTCAGATCTGCAGCGCCGATGTGATAAAGCACGGCAACGCCTTTGCCTAAAGAAACAGCGCACAGCATCGGCTCGAGCTGCTCGATACACGGCTCACTGGGCCACTTAGCGCGGGGAGCGGACACCCACCTGCCGTATACGGTTCTGGTGCAGCGGTGGCGGAGGTCCACCCTCCGGGGACGTGTTGCTGGAGGAGGCCGTTTTCAGGTCACGGTCGGAGCCGCCGCCCCTGGAGTGACTTTCTTCGGGGCTACTTGACATTCCGTCTCCTGCTGCTGGCTGCTGCTGCTGCTGGAAGCGACACGGTCAGTGCGGATCCTTTTCGCCGGTGCAAGGTGGATTTCTGTGCGGGCCTCAGAGTCCACGGGGCTCGGCGGGGCCCCGGATCATCGTGCGGTGTCAGAAGCAGCCTGTGACCAAACGTGACAAGAAGCGAATACGTGCAATTTGTTCCAGAGCGTGAAACCAAAACGAGCGCTCCCCTCCGCTCAGGGATGCTCCCGGTGTGCTGCTGTGGCCTTGCGCGTGTATGTGTATGGACACGTGAACGCGCTTCGGATGCGCTTCCCCGAAACTCCGCAGGATTCGTGCTGCCTTCCAGGACAATCGGAAACCACGGAAGCGCACCGTGATTGTGATGCAAAACTGGACACGGTGGGGGCTCAGAGGGACAGCAAAACTGATGCTGTCCTCTTAAATTTATTTTTACATGCACAAAACAGTTATCACAGTTTCTACCACTTGTCAAAATAGTACTTAATGTGGCTACAAGAAAACATTTGTATTCACTTAAATGCACCATCAAGCAATAGTGGGCTCCTGTTTTGCTTTTTTTTGACCCGACCTCTGTGCTTCTGCAGCTGAAGACATTAAAGTCAGTATCAGACAAAAACTGAAAGATTGCTTACACGCACATGAAATCATAGCAAAGCAAAAACACTGGATTTGCTTTACATACTGTATGTTGTCTCCCTCCTGGTGTTCTTACGCCCCCACTTTGGCCTGGGTTTCATCACTAAGCTACAAATTTAATGGAGGTTGACAGGGCCAAATCAATAGCAATGTCTTGGAGATGTTTGGAAAACAAAGCACGAGGCGGGTAGAAGAAGGTGAAGTGGAGGAGCTGTAAGAAATCATCTTACACTGGCAGAATGTTACTGTTGCCCTGAAGTCTTGAAGGTGGATGGATGGTGAAGTCACATTTGTTCCAAATCAAATATGATTCCACTTTTTCTAATGTACCTTTTCTTTAAATGGCAGAGGAAGATGGGTGTAGGGAAAGACACAGCTGAGTATTTAACTGTGAATGACTTCATTTTGCTTTTGTTTATTTAAGAAGTGTATGCATGAAAACAGTAATAATAACAATATGAAGAAAAAGAAGATATTTAACTTTATTTCTACACCACCTTTCAATGGTGGAGTTACAAGGTGCTTGACAAAACATCAAAAAGAAACAATAGAATAATAAGAGAAGACAATAAAACATTAGAAAAGACATCAAATATTATACAAATACGTGTCTGTACAGGGCCTTGTTCCCGACAAGTGGGACGAAAAAAGTAAAACCATGACCAATGTTTAAAACATTACACAACCATATAAAGGAGACTCATTTTGAGTGGATGTCCCTCTGCCCTAACCAGTCTTTGTTAAATCTGCAACAATGGCTGCTTGTCCAACAGAAAAGACATTGTAAAGGTTTACTGCGGGGATGAAGCTTTACAACAACCTAAAAGCACAAAGGTGTGATCATTAAGCTGTTACGGCTGCAGAAATAGGTAGATAAAGGCCATTTCACAGTCTTACAAACAGCTTTAGGCCACTTTGTGACCCACTGTAATGGTTAGATTTTGAAGATATACAATGTATGTTTGACCAGTCTGTACTGTTAAGCAAAAATGTTTTATAGTGTAGTCTTAGAAAACAGCCATCTCAGTCTTCAGCCATTCGTCCACTATTACAAATACACAGCACAGGAATATTGGATGCAAAGATGATTTTGCTTTTCATCCACAGAGCAAATGTTCTGATCAAGGCTGAATTATCAACCAGCCAAAGTGTGTAAAATCCCAGGAGCTCTAAAAGCCCTAGATTCACTGTTTGTGAGTTGCCTTTATATAATTTGATTCCTTTAAATATCACCTGAGTCCTGCTGCATTACATAATGTGAGGCTCATTATTAAAGAGTGTCTTTTATTATACCTTATTTTCACATGGTGCATTCTCCTAATTGGGGTTGTGTTTCATTATGGAGCAGTTTGATTTATTGATTTTGTGCACTAATCAGGCTGCCATCTATAGTGTTTTATGCACTGAACTTAATTAGAATTGGAGCCAATGGGATGCTTATAGCAAAAGCTAGCGAGACACATTTAGTCTTTTTAACCGGTGGTTCCGTTCTGCTTCCACTACGCTGGAATTCATAAATTGTTACTGTATTGCCAATTGTAACTGTAGTTCCCCTTGCTCATACAGCAAAACCCTAAAAATAACAGTTCTAGCTCAAGTTCCATATCACAAGTAACTGAGTATAGGATAGAATTAAATGATTAAATCTCAAGAAACTAATGCTGCAAACCCAATGCCAAAGTTTTTACTCAACCAATTTGAATGAGTAAGATTATCGGAACTAAGGAACATGATGACTCAGCTGATATGAGGGGATGTCTGTCCCAGGTACTTACCATGATGCTCATTTTTTATACACATACACAATACTGCCCTCTGTGTCCACTGCATGGTATCACACAAACTCCAACCCTAGACTATAAGTAATGTATTGTAGGATTACTCATCAGCCATTGGCCAAATCAATAGCAAAATGCATTCTGCCTTGAAGATCTAAATGTAAAAATGAAACTGAAGCACATAATGCACAATGACTTGCTGCACAATCTCGATGTAAACTCATTAGTTGAAGGATTACCTAAAGTTAGGTAGGACACAAAAATCAAACCGGTAAAAATATAAAAATGCTTTATTAGACATCTACCTTTTACAAACAAGACATCACTGGACTGGTACCAATCAGTGACAGCAGCACCAAAACCACCAAAAAACATGAACAATAACAAACAACAGAAGACAAGGACACATGGTGGGAAAGCTTATAAGAATTATAACGGAAATGTACTTCTGAGTCTTTTTTCTTTTTTTTTTACTGTGCAGAGAGCTGGTCGAGGTTGTCATGGCTGCGACTGGAGAGGTGGGCCTCCACAATTTCTCCAAACAAATTCCTCTTCAGCAAGCTGTAGGCCATGGGCAGAAGTTGTTTGATAATCTTGTGGAAGTACTGCAAGAGACAAGAAACCAAAGATACAATAATGTACTTCTTTGAATTACAACTCCAGTGATTTTGCAACAGTTAGGCCGATGTGTGGCCTATACCAAGTAGTCCTCAGATTTTCTGGCTTGTAAGCATTTTCACATAAGTGTAATTTTACCCATTAAACTTTTCCTGTTATTTAAAAAACTGTTTCAAAAAAGTAAAACTAACCAACACTGTACAAATAAAAAATATAGCTAAACCTCATGAAAAAAGTAGTAATTTGTGCAACTGATTACTTTTGTTATTATGTCAATAATAATGTCAAATTTGAGTCAAATCAATGCTGAAGGCACCACTGTAAGAGACTTACATGGGATCCGTAACAGAAGAGGTCCATTCCTAGTTCGTAGCCCATGCCATAGTCGCACTCATCATTGGCAAACTGAACAAATGTGATCATCTCCTGGATTGGACCAAAGGCTTTGACACGCTCTTCATCATTCCGTGCTTCAGCAATGGCTTTACAGATCTTCTTGAGACCAGCTAGACAAGAAGAAAAGAAAAAAAACATGTTGTGAAAAAAGAAAACTCTCCTTTTCCCCCCAATTTTAGTCTCTGCTACTCACACAATTTGTTTCACAAAATATAAAAAAAGGGAATTCGCATCACCAATGAAAAAGACAAATGAAAACCCACACTGAAATAGTTACACTCACCATCTGTTTCTGGTAGTTCTCTGTATCCTACATCATTCTTGTCTACTGGCACAACAATGCCAGCAGTGTGGAACGTCTTGGTGACCACCTACGGAGTGACAAGAGGTTTCCTATGATCAACTTGGAGTACAGTAACTTTCTTCAAGCCATGTTTCTATACATTCTGTGCTAGTAAAGACTACTGTTTAAAAGGCATTACACTATTGTCCAATTATATGACTAATAATTCTGAAAAGGGTGATGAGGGTTGGGTCGTCGCCAGTGCACTGAAGACAGCAACTAAGTCATGCACTCATCCATACATTTATTTTTTTCTGCCTATCCGGGGTTGGATCATGGTAGCAGCACACTACGCAGAGCATTCCAGATGCTCCCTTTTTGACAAGACGGTCCAGTACAACACCTACAATATAACGCTTCACCAATCCGTTTGTTCATTGCATCTTCCATTTTTCTGTCGTCCATGAACAAGATCCAGAGATAACTAAAGTCCTTCACTTGGATAAGTAGCTCACCCCCAACCCTAAAAAAGTCATTGGTTCCCAGCAGACAAACATGGCTTTAGAATTAGAGGTGCTGACTCTCATTTCGGCCACGTCACCCCCTGCTTCAAACCCCCCCACCCCACGCCCCAGTGCACGCTGAAGGGCATGGTTTTATGAAGTCAACAGAACCACGACTAGTGGGGTCAGATAAACCATCTATATAGTAACATTTTTTTACCCAAGGTAGCATAGATAACATTACCTTCTTGTCCCTCTGCTTCATGCCTTTGGTCTTCTGCTCTAGAGACAATCCCAGAGTCTCTGCCTTCTCCCTCAACTTTGCCTCCAAGCTTTCCAAAGCCTCTCCTCCCACTTGCTTACTGCCTCTTTCTTTCCTCTTCCTCAGCAGAAACAGGCTAAAGGAGGAAAGATCACAGGGATCAACAGCAGGTAAGAAGATTGATGGTAAAACAGAGAAAGTGAGAAAGCAACAAGTCTGAAGACAAAGAAGCACAGACACTAGAGCGGATTATCATACGAGATAAGACATTCATCAGTCACCTTCTATGATCACAGCTTTGAGCAAGAATTATGCGCTTGACAGAGTTTTCAGTTGCCAACATGCAAATAAATCTTTCTTTTCAATAGTGATGAAACATTGGTATGCACCTTATTTCGGCAAAGCCTGTTCACTTTTTCCTATGGGTGACAAATGAAAAATACAATACATGTATCAGGTCTGCATTCAGCCCCAGTGTACTCAACTAAATTTAATTTGATTACATAAAACCATCTACATTTTTTTGGTTCTGAAGTTAAAAAACTTCTCTTATCTAGGCAGCTTAAAGTGAAGTATACAAAGTGAGATATGGTGAATACATAACGGTTAACACTCACTGGACGGCAGCGAACACGTTGTCCCCCATCTGTGTAATAGTGTAGCCCTTCTTGGCTTCACTTTCTCCAACAAATGAAGGCAGGGAATCTGGAGTATCTCTGGTGGATTTGAGTAAAAAACATGAAATTTTGTAAAATGTAAGAGCGACTCACTCATGCTCATTGAGTTACAGTTACCAGTGTTTCTATGTTATCAATCTCCCACTAGCCAGAGTGTATTCTCTTACTCTAGTATAGTACAGTAACAGAAGCGGCGTCTAGTGGAAGCTACAGGCTTGTAGTAAAAGCAGTTTTCTACCTGTAGTAGCCCATGTGATGCTGGCTGTCCTCACTCCCTTGAAGTATGGTCTGAAACTCTGGTGGGTCATAAAAATATCTCCAGTGAAGGTGGAAGTTAGGCTGAGGATTCTTAGAGCTTCTGTGAGCTCCTGCCAGAATGTCAAAAGGACCAACCAGCTGCAAACCCAGTATGTCTTTCAGGGCACCTGTACAGATGTAGATTCAGAGAAATAGTACATTATGCAAACAAAGTGACATAAAGGCTTCAGTCAGGTGCAAAATACTGGTAGTTGTTATATACACACTGTTTTATTCTATATTTTTGTGGAAACGCTTAAAACTAAACACAACATAATATACAAAACGTAGTGCTCATGTACAGGTAGCTTCTCTTCGCTTTGGATGGTTTCACAGAGCACAGTGTATAAAATACCTGAGGGGGAGATTCTCATTTAATCAAAGAAGGACTGACAGAATTGTTTGCCGTTTAATAGACTAAATGATCACGAACTGTACGCATACTCAGCAGTGTTGCCATGGACTTGGTAAAGAGTGGCAGAACTGGCAAATATAAAGTCACCATCAATCAAAGACACTTGTGTTCAAGTCTGGTTTTAAGCAAGTCTTCTGAAATACTGGGGTAGGTATTGTTTTTTTTTGTTTGTTTTTTAAAGAAGTCTAGTAGAGGATTTTTTCATCTATACTGTTGATTGGCTCAGGAGCACTAAACTCTGATGCTGCAGCCTGTTTTCTCTAGGTCTGCAGACAGAAAAATGGATTAAATGTCAGGTGAATCGTCAGTCCTGTCGCTGTTACTGTAACAACATACACTGTTAGTATCAAGAGCATACCACGGGGGTTGTCAGGACAAAGCTCCTTGCAGATGTCCCAGAAGTGGTACAGATCTTCTGGCATTTGAAAATTGTATAGTTGCACCATCTCATCACGTTGCTCTGAATCCACTCCTGACAATGGCACAGCTTTGGATTCATCAATTCGGGCTTTCTTCAACTCTCCATTGCCTGTGCCCGACTCCTGAAGAGATTGAGACAGCTATGTCATACATTAAAGGTCCTGCAGGGTAAAATCCTTTTGGAATATGTTTTGTGGCTGTTAGAAACTTAAAGGTGCAACATGAAAGCTGTTAAGATATGAAGACATTTACTTTTGCCGCACTCTAACCCTCCTGCCCCCCTTGCTTTAGAGTACGGTAACCTAAACTCAGCCAGTGTTTAGATCTTTTGCTTCTCTCCTACTCTCTATGCTCAAATATACTATTTTAATACAGCCAAAATCCAAAATCACAATAAAGCTGATCTCATATACATATTTTACAGTTTCACATAATGAGTGTTAAATAGTGACGACATCCTAACAAGCAGTCTCCTCAGAGCTATTTCAAAGCTCCACCAAACTGATTTCAGAAGCACAACACTGTCTGACAAATTCTCCAAGTGAAAAACAACGGCTGTGCTGTGAATTCTGCGCTATTTCCATGTTAAATTATTTCTCAAAGATAAAGTCAAAAGCTACAGAAAGTCACTGTCTCACACTCACTCACTCATGCCTGTGTTAGCTGTGGTTTGGTCAATGGTTTTGCTGGGTGCTGTTAATCACAGATGAAGAAAGAGTCTTCTTCCTGAAGGAGGCATGGACACCAGCAGCTCAGCTGCAATAAAAGCTACAGACACTGAAACAGCCTTTTAGAACCGGGCTGAAACCAGGTGTTAAACAACCATGGTGTAATTAACTATTTTTGTAGTATGTTGAGCTGAAAAATTGAAGGACACATTGTGGGGACATGTGGGAGTTTCATTAATTTGTGGAAAAGGGGCACACAATGGGAGCTTCTAGTTGCCAATTTATTTGGTAGAGCAAGCTATAATTAGTGTAATTCAATACAGTAGCCAAACACATTTCATTGTATTGCGTTATAATGATGGTAGTAGTTAACCACACACCCCATTTATGTGAATGACGGTAGACTAAATACTAAAACAGCTTGACAAAATGACCATCGCTCATGCGGATTTAACAAAACCTCTAGGGCAGAGCACCCATAAAAGCAGGCTAGGGTTTATTGTAGGGTTGGTATATTAGTATTTACAAGCTGGCAACTGCAATTATTTCATAGCAAGTACAGCTGTGTTCAGTTGTGTGTAGTCTGTACACGGAACAGCACTGAAGGAAACCGAGTTCTACAGCTCAGGATCAAAATGTTAGCTACACAGTATTAGCTATTAGAGGACTCATTTTTTGGCCTTTATGGGATAAAAGCACGAATGAACTGAGGACATCCACCAGCGTTCCTGCAGCAGACTAACAGAGAGGTAACGCGAGCTCAACAACATCACCTAGCCTAAATAAATACTCCGTTATCGTCCATGAACGTTAGCAGCGCTAGCAGCGTGAAACACTGGACAACACGGAGCGGTACCAATCAGCGGCGCTGCTGCCATGTTGTCGTCTGAGCTCCGCTGCTCAGTCACCGTGCACAACACTTCTGTCCATGGCGTTAATCACAAGTTGCTTTGTCGCCATGATGACCACACACAGCACGGCTCGTCGCCTGGTGAAACCGTCGTTTAAACGGACATCACTGCAACTCGACACAAATAGACAATACGGAGTGAAATTACCTGAATGGATTTGGGTTTTCTTTTTGCGCGCCCTGTCATTTTATTCCTCTTGTCTCTCCGTCGGCCTCTTCTTCTGCAGCTCGGCTCAGACAGCAACAGCGCCGCATTAAAGCGCATCAGTGCCCCCCAGAGGCCGGGGACGGTAACCGCAGCATCCTGAAAAGCAACGCAACTAACGCCGAAACGGTATACTGTATCCTACAGTCGTCTTCAGATGTATTCATACCCTCCCATTAAAGAAATAGGCCATAGGCTAGCTCACAGGAAGTGCCTAGAAATTGACTTCCGTCCCAGTATCGTGGGAAATACTTTCAGTTGTGATTTTTATCAAGTAAATAGTTGAACTTCTTCCACAAAAAGTTCCACAAGCAGGCTCCCTGCAGTTATTAAGTAATCGTCTTCCAAAGTTGGAAAATCATGAAAAATTGGACATTTTTGCCTCTAATAGCATTTTTCACTCCAATTATCTCAGACAGTAATGAGGCCATACACTTCAAACTTGACACTTGCATAGACGATCCCAAAACAGTTCAGCATGTGGAATATTAAGTGGATAGGAGTGCTGGTTGTGAAGAAAAAATATTTCAAAAAAGTCCTAATTTCAAAAAACTCTCCTATTGAAACAAGCACACAAGGGGACCTAATTCTTCACATACAACGTTTCGGATTAGATTTTACAAACAGAAATGAATAACAAATTGCTCCAAATAAGTTCCAAACATTCTTTAATTATTCAAGTTCAGACTCTTGGTTCCATTGTAGGAAAATATAAACAAAGTTAATAAACAACATAATAATCAACACCAAAGATCTGGCGATATTTCGAGCTACCTTGCCCTTTGTACAAAATATTACTGATGAAATAGTCTCAATGGGCATTATTTTAGATACCAATGATAAAAAGTATTTAACAAGACAACAGCTGAAACTGCGTATTTCACTGTCCACAATATAAGACTGACAAAATAGCTTCAATGGGAATGATTTCAAATATCAATTACAAAAAATATTTATCCAGACAATAAATCATAAATATTTCTAATTTATTATCATATCAAATATTAATTACACGTGTTACAGCTAATTTTCAGGGGTGCTACAGTTAATTTACTTTGGTCACAATGTCAATTGATCAGTCAAAACCAAAAGAGATATTCAATTTATATTCTCTTGCTGTGTCAATTTCTTATGATCTAAACGGAATAATCAGCATCACTGTCATCACTATCATCAGGAATGTCCTCTTGGCTAGCTGTTCTGGAATCATTCTGACAGTTCTTGCACCCACATAACTCTGTACAATCCAGGTTTGTAGATTTACAGGGACACCGTTTTGTAGCACATTCTCCTGTTTTACACTTACAGCTAATAAGCTTCTGCACCTCTCTAGGAGCAGGATCATTAGTCATCCAGTTGATGGAGAATTGATTCTCATGGATACTCCAGCCATGGCCTTCTGGTGATGGTGCACATTATATCAAATACTCAGCGCAAAATGATCCTACAGTAACTGAAGCTTTGTAGAACAGAATTGTTCACCAGTGATGTCCTTTTTATTTCCTTTTTCAATTGGATAGTGATAGGGCTATTACTGTAGGTATTTCAATCATTATTGCGACAACATTTTTAATTATTTTTTTTTCTATGGCATAGGCAATGTTGACACGCAAAAGTTTGTCTTGTGTGATTTCTTAAAATTGCACTGATTGCAACTCTAATTGAAGTAGATAACTATTAACTATAGAATCAGCAATTATTATAATAGATGAATGTTTGGAATCTTAGAAACTTAGTTATTTTGAAAAATGTAATCAGCCTGCCCTACCATCCATCCAAGAGGGGAAGAGGACTTATTAACAATGAATGGCTACACATGAAATTTGAAGGAATGATCAGAAGAATTCCATTGTCTGATGTGCTTTGACCATGTTCGCCTAAATAATCAAAAGTCAGACAAGCTGTTCACTGAGAACAAACAACACGTTTGTTTTCGGCCAGAGAGAGGGCCAGCACGGCCGCAAGCAGGCAAACTACACACACACACACACACACACACACACACACACACACACACACTTACAGACTACAAAAAACCCCACACTTTTTTCACATATACGATTTTAGGCCTACTCACCAGTACCACCTGATTTGTGTTTATCTCGTCTTTGCTTGGCATAGAACAATTGTCTTTTGTCCGTGAAATGTTTGTAACAGGAAGCATGGTAGCAGGGACGGGTTTTCAGGTCATTGCACTCGCTGTCAAACGAGTGTATCGAATCAAATCAAATCAGGTTTATTGTCATTTTGCTGTACATACACAGTATCACAGGCAAGACAAGAGAGCGTCTCTTCAGGATCATTTAATTAGTAAGTTTTGAATGAACGTCTGGTACAGACAAGACACTAAACGTCCGCTGTCTCCCGAAGGGGTCGCTGCATCCATGTGCGCCGCCATTACATTGAACATGGCGAACCTCTTCAGGTCCTGGTCGGTGTTCAGGGACACAAAAACACACACGATTGTGTAGCCGCAGATGCTGCCCAGAGCGAGGTGTCTGTCTGTTTGCATCTCCTCCATCTGTATGTCCATCTGGGATGTTGTCATGGAGCCATGTTTCTGTTAAAGCAAACACACAGCAGGCCCTCCACTCTCTGCGGGTTTTTATCAGCAAACGTAGCTCGTCCAGCTTGTTGTCGAGGGAGCAGTGATTAGAGAGTAGGAGGACGGTCCTGCTGGACTGGAGGGGTTAGCCTTTAGCCTAGCATGGATCCCGGCTCTTGACCTCCTCCTTGACTGGCAACACGACATTGCTCCTTCTCCCTTTCAGTGATATCTACTCTTTCGCAATTTTTCTAAATGTATCCCATCATACTTGAATTACAACACAGGTGTTCTTGCTGCAGTGATCAAGAAAATGCATACAGCAAGCAGGATTTTCCGGAGTTTCATCTGGATTTGGCAATCCATGGTCAGAACAGGATCACTGATGCTTCACACTCCTACCGCAGCAGAAAAGATAGTTCCATCTTCACACTCAAATTGCAAAAATACTGCAGGATTTCTGCCTGTGGAAACTTTATGGAAGCAGGATGGTTTGATATATTTTCAGAATATATAAAGAGATTTTATTTCCCATAATAGTGGAACGGAACATCACGATAGAAAAGCTAGCATATGACCTAAAAAGGCAAATTTCACAGTAGTCACTCAAATAACTAAAAAACTAAAAAATAATTTAAAAAAATAAAAATTTGCTCAATTATAATTTAGTGAAGTAAGACATTGCTTTTGAATTGTGGTTGAAAAGAATAATTTTAAAAAACAGAACTGTCCTGGACAAATTAGAGCAGTTTGCTGATTAGCCATGGGCCAAAATACCAGTCAACAGGTGGAGAAGTCTGCTTGAGAGTTACAGAAAACACTTGATTGCAGTGATTTCCTCAAAGGGTTGTTCAACAAAATATGTGTTTAGTGGGTCTCATCATGCTTGTTTGCTTGTGTGTTTTTTTGCTGCTGTTGTTGTTGTTTCTTGTTGTTGTTGTTTTTTAATTCTGTTGAACCAC